TTTACCGGCCTGAATGTCCGAGAAATTTTCATAGAAAATTTTCGTTCTTTGACAGGATTCGAACCTGCATCCTATATATATTCTCGGACATTCAGGCCGGTAAATGTTATTTAATACTGTTTATCATAAACAGAGCATTTGCTTAAATACTTGTATCTATAAAATAACAACGTTAAACATAAAAATATGTCTTTAATAAATAAATTGTCGGACCTTGTCCATTTCTTAATATATATATATATATATATATATATATATATACCAGGTGAAATAGAAACGTTGTCCAAATCATGTAACAGAAAATTGTCCAATTGTTAGATTAAGCTTTGAACCGTTGTATCTCGGAAATGATTAAAAATATCTTACTGGAATTCCTCGAAGTTTCTATAATACTATCGGACTCTACTTTGAGCAATAAGAATGTATGATTACTCGCCAAGTTTAACGGTAGAATCGATCATAAACGAAAATGGTATGTTCATCATAGCTAAGGATCGGAAATTCATGAAGGACTGAAATAAACTTCAAATATATATATATATATATATATATATATATATATATATATATATTATTCCAGACTTTCCAACTTATTCAAGATTATCTTCGCCCTCCCTAAACTTCTAACTTTCTGTCGTGGAATAACAAGGTGCCTCACAGGTTTCACGTACGATTTCATTTTCAAGTCTTTTTTCACTGCTCTTTGGACTGTCATAACTGAAACTACTCTCTCACGTTCCAAACGTCTTATGAATTGAGTTGGATCTTTTCTAATTGATCTCTTTAGATAATGATCTCTCTTCCTGTTTTGACCTCCAAATCCATTTTTGCTCTGAAGGCCTGAATGATCTTTTTCGTCTCACCACTGCTCAATAAGGAATACAGTGGATCTAACACAAAACGATTTTAAACTGTTCTCTTTCTAACTGAATAACTCAAAGGGTTTTTTCAGTGAATCTTTCGACAAATGGTGTCAAGTTGGCTAACGTTTTATCTGGAAACGCAGAAAGATTTTGCTGTTACACCCGTATATATATATATATATATATATATATATATATATATGTATATATGTATATATATATATATATATATATATATATATATATATATAGCTAATATTAGTGGTAAATATACATACATATACAAAATATATAAATATACATAGATGCATACACATAAATGTATATTTTTAATAAAAAATTCAAGGAGGATAGAATCCAAGTAGAACTCAATGTCCCAGAGAGAGTAAGGATATAATAAAAAGGCTTAAACACTAATATTCCATGGTCATAATTTATTCCATTGGAATCGTAAATACTATCCAATTCATCAGACCTACAAATTCAAACAGAAAACAGAAAAAACAACTCCGAAAATAAAAATAGAATTTAGAGAGAGTGTAAGTATGAGAGTGTGAGACGAATGTTAGAGCTAAAGAGATGGGAAACAGACGATAGAAAGTGGGAGATTAAAATTTAACAGAGAGAAGTTTTAGAGAGGTGAGTCAAAGACGGTTTAAGTGAGAGAAATATGAATGTTGTCGGATGTCTAATACATTAAAGATGTAACCGTAAAGGATATATTTTGTGGTGTCATACACACACCATAGACGATCTAATCTTAAAGATCAGAAGAAGAGGGAGGGAGAGGAAAAGAAAAGAAAAAGGGGTGGGGGAGAGAGATGGGGCGGGGGAAACTAAAACTGAAGGGCATTTACTGAAAGGACCGCTGTGTAATTAAGAACATTTGACAAAATTAATATCGACTACAGGTTACAGGTTTTTTCTGTTTTCTTTTTGAATTTGTAGGTCTGATGAATTGGATCGTATTTACGATTCCAATTGAATAAATTATGACCATGGAATATTAGTGTTTAAGCCTTTATATATATATATGTATATATATATAGCGTCTGATTACATGTAATGCAACAATGTCACTACGACGAATATGGGTTACAGCGAATAAAAGAGAATGACAAGTCTGGTGAAGAGGAGGATTGAGGAAAGAGCAAATAAGGAATAGTGTTTAAGAAGACAGAAGATGGTGATTGATGTTTCATTTACATTTTTGAACATTATAATTATCAGGGAAGCAAGAAATTGGACGCGCGTTCCACGGGCGCGATGTGCGAGAAAAGAATCTGTTAGAATAGAACTGGTGCTTGCATTTAGGTAGTTTAACAGTAAAACGGTGAGGTGTAGTTGCCAATCTAGTAGCACGCTTAAACTCATGTAGTCAGAGCACCAGGGATAGAAGCTCATCTGAGCAGTTGCCATAAAAATATATCTGTAGAAAAGACAGAGGAAAGCCACGTCACGTCGGAAATAAAGTGACTGGAGACGAGATACTAAATCAGGACCGTTTGTATTGCAGACCCATTTTCTGGATTTTGTCAAGAATTTGGGGATGCACAGTTGTTGTACCAGACCAGATATGGCAACAGTATCCAATGGACGGATGAATGGTAGATCGATAAATCTTTAATATAGATTCTGGCGAGAAAAAAAATTTCTGTTAAATTTATCCGGCAATGTCTGTTTAATTATTTAATACATCTTTTTTGTAATTTTTTAATAAGTCGTCCATCCAAATCAAAATTGTGCATAAACTGTCCAAAATTCATGTTTTTGTCTGTATTTTGTTCATCTGTATTTCTACCGTCTCAGTCATTATCAAGCACTGGGTGCTGCAAGAATTGATAGAAAAGATTTTCTTCGCTACATCCTGGCATTTTTTAGAATGCTATAATTCAAATGCAAATACACGCGTATCGTATAAATGACAAAAAATATACCAAATACTTTATCCGTATAACTATTCTGTGCGTAATTTCTGGTGTCTCCTGACGAGTGGATCTAACCATTACAAAAAAGTTTCGTCTTCGAAACTCTGGAGTCAGGCGGCTGAAAATAACATCAATGTCAGCTAAGTGGCAAATTTCGCACTATATATATATATATATATATATATATATATATATATATATAAAAGAAAAACAGACCACTTTAAGGTTCCATTATATATATATATATATATTACTTCTACTAAATATTTTATACAAAATTTAAAATGCTATAAAATACATTTTAATCAAATTGGGCTGTTTCTTTCGTATAAAAAAATAAAATTATCGACTTTCTGAGAAAAGAAAAGAAAAAATCGTATGCTGAGAAGATCTACGATAGGACTGATATGTTTTTTTTTACGTTTTATCTACCCTTTATGGTTTATTTAAAGTAGTAACTTATTTTGTGTTGTAAGAATAATTGTTATTCTTTTGCGTGCGAATATGGCATTAACAGCTTTTTTTTTTCGAATGACAATGAACTTCGACAATGAAGTCCTATTATTTAGCCCATAGCTGGGGGAGATAGATTCATACATTTTCTAATTTTATTCGCGCGTATGTGAATGCAACGAACCCAACTGTGATTCGAACTCGGTTTTCGGACTTCTCATTCCGAGTTGTTATACATTGCACCACCTGCACATCTACCATAAGAACGAATCTTCTGGGGTTATTTTTATCGTATATTGTTAGAACTGTTCTATTATAATCGTTATTAAGGTTAACCTCTTATTGTGCCTGATTCATAAAATGAACTTTTCCATATTAATGTATAGGAATAAAGCAGTTTATATAAAGTTCGTCTTTATCCGTGGTTTTAGGTAAATGTTTCATAGGTCAGTATCTGGCATTTTTACTAACACATGTATTACTTATGTCTTTTTGACTTCATGAGAGTGTAAGCTGCAGACAAATGTTTTTTTACAGGAGCGATGAAGAGACTAAAAATTGGCTCTTCAGTCGTCACGTCATATTGACAGGGAAGGGAAAAGCTTTCACGTCTAAGACGAAAAATGGCATCAACATAGAGAACTACATTTTCTGCCAAATTTCAGTGAAACCCTTTTACTTCGAAATACCACTAGAAAAGTATTCTTAAAAAAAACGTTAAAATAAATACAGGCATCCCTCGATTAGAGCACATTCGATTAATGCGTTTTCGATTAGTGCGCTAAAATTAAAATAGTAATTGAACATGGAAGAGGCACGGTGGAGTAATAGAATGCGGCTCGGATTGAGGAATCAGAAAGTTCGAATTACAGCCGAATCCATTGCATTCACTTACGCGCTAATACTCTTGGAAAAAGTATGGATCCTTTTCTTCTATCCACATCTATGGGTAAATAGCAGGACAGACTGGGTTCTCTAACCTTGGACGGTAACTGATCTACTGCAGAAAGAAATGGCAAACTACTACGAGAAAAATCTGCCTTGTCAGTCATGTATCGAAAGATACATGATCGCCTAAGCGTGTATTACGCCTGGCACATAACTAACTGAATTTTTTTTTTTTTATAGTCACCGATGAGCAAATAAGCCGCAATAATCGAGGGATTCCCTGTATATGAAGATGAAAATAAAATAAAACAAGGATAGAAGAAAATTAGTCAAATGAAAAAATAAAGCGAAATAATTTTCATGTCATCACGACCGATAAGCGCTTGCCGTAGAGTAATTTTAAAGAAACTGGTGTTGCGCGGCGATTTCGATCATCACGAGGTTTTCAGCTCGTAAGGTGGACAAAACTAAGGCTTTCTTTCTTAGGCGCCTTGTGTGATGCACGCTTGGGCGGCCATGTCTCTTTTCCATTCATGATTAACTTATTCATATAGGATTCTATAGGACAAAAAGCAGAGGATCGATTTTTTTATGGTCATTAACAACTAAATTGATCACCTCCAAATTTCTACATATTAATATATTTCCTAGGATGCTATGTGTGATGTACGCTTAGGCGATCATGTCCCTTTTCAATTCATGATTAACTTGGTAGAATAATTCCCCTAGTAAGCTGCAGTTACTTTCTGTAATAAGACTCAATCGGTCCTACTATTCAACCCTTAACTGGTGGCTGTGGGAGAGAAGAAGCAAATTCGAATTCGGCTCTCCGAAACGTTATCCATCACACCACTTGGTCATCCAATAGTACAGCACTTGGTATTCCCAAGCAGTCACCCATCTAGTGACTGACCAGACTGAACGTAGCTTAACTTCGGTGATCGGACGAGAACTGGCTTTCGAACATTATATGACCGTAAGCAGAGAACGCATAGTAAATAAATATCCACTTGTATTCAAAATGAGCTTATATGTACCTATGTATATAGAAATATTTCTCCTATTTCTTCCCACAACCATCTTCATGCATTAAACACACACACAGACACAAAAATACCAGACAAACGCACGCTTTAAATTCACAAGGCATAAACACGTGAGATCTGCTTGACCAATGAAAACAAACAGTGCAGTAATCGAAATAGCGAATATTTCTCTTCCGTAACTCGTTTCCCACAAAATTCTGATGGAGCTAAAATAAAAGCGAAACAGTTTAAACTTTTAAATGTATTCCTACGTGTACCATATTTAATCATTCTGTCGGCTCTAATCCATATTTAAATTCAAATGTCAGTCAGTTACGTGACATGTGTGATACACGCTTAGGCAGAATCTTTTCGCGCAGTAGGTTGACATTTCTTTCTGAGGTAGACCACTTGCCATCCAAGGCTATAGAGCCCAGTCTGTTTACTCATGGGTATTAGGAGATAAGTGAATATAATGGATTCGACTGGAATTCGAACTCGGCTCTCCGATTCCTCAATCTGAGCCACTATCCATTACTCAACTATATGATTATGTACATCTAAAAATGGCTTTGCAAAGTGGATAGATTCATACAGAGATAGATATGAACGAACTAAGTTAGATATTAACATGTTAATGACATTAACGAAATATATATATATATATATATATATATATATATATATATATATATATATATATATATATATATATATACACACATAGATAAGGGAGAAATAATATTAATAATCAAAAAAAACAGTGTTAAATTCTTACATCGAGCCCTCGTGCACCACTCTCGAGGATAAGTAAGTTTTTTTTTAAATTTGCAGGTTTTTGATTTTGGACATCGTTTGATCGAAGAATCAATAATCGCGTCTTCCGTCATCAACGAACCGTAAAAAAGTCAAAAGTCCCAAATTACATCAACGTTCGCGCATTCAAAACGTTATATTATTGCGAATAATTTATTTAGATCATAAATATATCACTTTTCCTGCTATTTTTATATATTTCACTTCACTTTTCAGTTGACTTTCTAACAACGTTTTATACTTGTTTCCTTATATATATTTTTCTTTGAAAAACATATCTCCCTTCATCGTTTTGCACAGAACCATTAAAAAGCAATTAAATAAGATCAAAAGCATTTTTACCCTTTATTGCTACTGATTAAGCCCAACGCTGAGTGAAACGGAACTGAGAAATTTGATAAAAGAATCCATCATACTAGCAAAATGGTCTGTGAAATATCCTTATTGAAATTTGCATCGCGCTAAGCATCCAATTTTGCATAAGGCTACAGAATTACTTTCTTTGCACATGGCCGATTATCATCGTCATCATTATCATCATAAACAGTCCCTCGACTGCTTCAATCATCCGCGGGTGAGGGACTGAGAGCTGAAAAAACAGACAACGTCCTCCACTCTGATCGATTATCGGCGGCTCTCAGGAGTTCCGGCATTGACATATCCGTCCACTCTTTCCCTAAAACCATAGAGGGTACGAAACGTTCCACGTTCCGATGGTTGTACCCTGTATTGGTAGCCCGATGGTATTCCTCGCTCCAGTTGCCCACTTGCCACGCCCGTACTGGGGCGAGTCAATGGAACACGCCGGTCGTTGTTGATCCGGAATGGAATACCATGCTGAATCAGCATGGTATTCCATTGATTTTTCTTCCCCATCGTACTTTCAATGCGCTTTCAAATAGCTTAACAGCGCCTATCTCCGCCACAAGCTCCAACCGAAGACCACAGAATATAGTGTAGGTGTTCCTCTTTCCGTACACTAGTCCGTTGAGTCCAACTGGAGACCTCTTCGCCCTGGCCGTTGGCGGCCTCTGCAGCTCTTCTGCCCAGTAGTACAGTATAAATGTGGCAGAAAATATGCATATAACAAAAGAAACAGGTTGACTTTTTGGTCTTACTAATTAACCCATAGCTAGGAGGAGAAGAGGTGGATTCATACCTTTCCCAAGGTTAAGTAAGTGAATATAACAAAACCAACTGGAATTGGAACTCGGCTCTCCGATTAACAATTCCGAGCCATTATCTATTACACAACCTGGACATTCAAGCTTACAGCACCTGGTATGATCGTACGGGAATGGCTGTTTCAATGTGATGTGGCCGTAATCCCAAAATATTGTTAAAAATCAAAGAAAAATATCGGTTGATTATGCAATGTCTAATCTCCTATATAGCAGTGAATAATGGACATTTTCCTCACAGATGAAGAGGATACTTGAAGCAAGACAAATGTGTTTCTATCGACGAGTAATAACGATGAAGAAATCGAAGGAAAATAGGAAGGAAATAACAACGAAATTTAAACTTATAATCAGCGACTGTCAAAACATTTCGGGTTGTGGCGTTCGATGGCAGACAGAAAGAGAGTAGTTTCATTTTGAAGGCGTTAAAATTAACAAGTCATTTCTTGCCCCATTTAACAAAAGATTGAAATTATTGAGATCAGCTGCCAATTTGAGCTTATCGAACTGATCAAACTTACTATTAAGACAGGAGTAAATATTTATGTTATAAGTATAGATACTGAGTGATGACATCAGGAAGGTCATTGATGAAAATTAGGAACAACGTAAGTCCAATGATAGAGTAATGGAGGATGCCTGCATTAATGTAAAATACTAGAAGAGTGGCTGTTCAAGACAACGTTCCTTTCGCGAAAGACTGAATCAGTTCAAAAACTCGTCCAAGTCGTGAAGAAAATCAGTATGCCAAACCCTTTCAAATGCCTTCGAGATATTCAATACAACAGCTCGCACTTCACCATTCTTATCTAAAGACTTTCAGCAGTAATCTTTAATGCATCAGCAGTTGACCAAGAGAGGCGAAGGCGATATTACTTGCCTGAAAGACACTATCAGATGCTTAACCAATTCATAAGTACCATATATATATATATATATATATATATATATATATATATATTGTATATTTAGACAGCAATCCTTCCTTTATGCATGTTTCATTAAAAACGACAGACAAGGTACTACGGTTAAGCTTTTTATTTAATTTTTCTTGTGTTCTAACAAGAGCTTTCTTTTCTGGACAAAGGGTGTGTAAAAATTGTCCAAATGTTTTATAGTTCGAGCGCTTTCGGCTATACCTTTAGCCATTATCAAAGATGATTCGATTTTTCAGCTTAATTGAGTGAGTGCGTTCTGTGTATGTCTTAGTGTGTGGTAGGGATGTTTTTAATTTCCGAATACGGTTAGCACATTGTGGCTTTGTTCGTAGTTAATATTGTTAAAAGTTGGCTTTTTCTTTTATATTATTAAAGCTTCCATTATTTTTAGTCTTTTTTTGCAGGTGGATGCAGTTAATATATTTGTGCTTTCTACTAGTATGTTTCTAATGGAGTCTGGTAAATTTGTGTGTGTGTTTAAATGGGTTCTAATGGAGCTGTGATCAGATAGGTGTAACGTAAGACGTCTGGATATGCATGTAGTTGTGTAACCGATGTAATTATTTATGAGTCCGGTTTGATCAGGAATACAGTTAAATAAAAAGCTTAACCGTAGTACCTTGTTTGTCGTTTTTAATGAAACATGCATATATATATATATATATATATATATATATATATATATATTGTGAAATGGATTGTCCGAAAATTATTTAATATATTTTCTGTTTGTCCATTATTATTATAGACATAATTTATTTAAGTAAATGCTCTGTTTTTTTTTTCTTTCTTTCTTTTTTTCATTAAACAGTATTAATTAAATTTACTGGCCAGAAATTTTTAAAAACTTCTTAGAAAGTATGCACTCTCCGATAGAAATGGAACCTGTAACCATTATGGGAAGTATCATTTGATCTGACGTGCTGTTAACCATTCAGCCACAGAAAAGCGTCTGGTTAGCAAATCCGAAATATACTCTTTGTAAACACACATCTTCGACGATTTTTCTCGATCGATCATTTTCCTCGCGAAATATAGCTTAACGTAAACAATGACAACATATTATGAAATAGGACTTTCCATCGAGAACAAACCTTTCTAATACAAAGCCTTCAAAAACATAACAAACCTACCAAAACATAACCCATCAATGTTTATGGTATTAAGTGTGGAAACTAAACTAAAAGATAGAGATGTAACGATGACAGCAAACAGGAAGACACCGATCTAAACCGGCGATTTTCATAGTATTGTATATATATATATATATATATATATATATATATATATAATCAGGAAGAAAACCATAAAGATTCATTTTGGCTATAATTCATTTCGTGAATATCTCCATATATAGACATAGTCACGAAATGAATTATTACCGAAATGAATCTTTAAGGTTTTCTTCTTGATTATTATTATTATTATTATTATTATTATTATTATTATTATTACTATTATTATTATTGTTGTTGGTGTTGTTGTTGTTGTTGTTATTGTTGTATCTATAGTTTACATTGATCTCTTTCTGGATTAATAATATCCTCCTTGGAATTATCCCTACTTGTCATAAATTGTTAATATATATATATATATATATATATATATATATATATATATATATATATATATATATACTGCAAATTTCAACAAGCACTCTTCTTTGTATTTCTCGTCTCTTCTATACGGTTTATATACAAGTAACAGATAAACATTTTTTTTTTCAATTTTCTCTAACAAATGTGATTGCGATGCAATGTATAGAAAGTTCTATTCGATATATATATATATATATATATATATATATATATATATATATATATATATATATATATATATATATATATATATATACATATATATATATGTTTCGTTGAGAAATGTGACAAAAGGAATTTTTGTTTTGTTTTGAGAAAAATTGATAAACGATTTTACTCTGAAAATGCATTTGACGTTATTTTACATCGAAAGTTATTTGTATATTAAAATGATTTACAAATGAATTTACTGTGAAAGTGC